ACTCAATGCATTACAGTAGCCACATTATGTTGTGATTCCATTGATATCCAGAAAACGACCGGTTAGGTATTACCATTTGATGTGTTCGCGTGGGTGTGTGTTGGCATGGGTGTGTGTTCGCATGGGTGTGTGTTGGCTTGGGTGTGTGTTGGCATCAGTGTGTGTTGGCATGGGTGTGCGTTGGAATGGGTGTGTATTGGCATGGGTGTGTGTTTCAGCCAGGCATGATTCAGCCAGGCATGTTTCATCCAGGCAGGATTCAGCAAGGCATGATTCAGCCAGGCATGATTCAGCCAGGCATGATTCAGCCAGGTATGATTCAACCAGCCATGATTCAACCAGCCATGTTTCAGCAAGGCATGATTCAGGCAAGCATGACTAAGGCACGCATGATTCAGTCAGGCACGATTCAACCAGCTATGTTTCAGCCAGGCATGATTCTGGCAGGCATTATTCTGGCAGGCATGATTCAGGCAGGCATGATTCGGGCACGCATGATTCTGGCAGGCATAATTCAGCCAGGTATGATTCAAGCAGGCATGACTCAGCCAGGCATGATTCAGCCGGGCATGATTCACCCTGGCATGATTCAGATAGGCATGATTAAAAAAGGCATGATTCAGCCAGGCATGATTTTGCCAGGCATGATTAAGCCAGGCATGATTAAAAAAGGCATGATTCAGCCAGGCATGATTAAGCCAGGCATGATAGAGAGGCATGAATCAGCCAGGCCTGATTCAGGCAGGGATGATTCAGGCGGGCAGGCATGTTTCAGCCAGGCATGATTCAGCCAGGGTAGATTCAGCGAGTCATGATTCAGGCAGGCATGATTTAGCAAGGCATGATTCAACTAGGCATGTTTCATCCAGGCATGATTCAGTCAGGCATGATTCAGGCATGCATGACTCAGCAAGGCATGATTCAGTCAGGCATGATTCAGCCAGGCATGATTCAGCCAGGCATGATTCAGGCATGGATGATTCAGCAAGGCATGATTCAGCCAGGCATGATTCAGCCAGGCACGATTCAGCCAGGCATGATTCAAGCAGGCATGATTCAAGCAGGCATGATTCAGCCAGGCATGATTCAGGCATGCATGATTCAGCAAGGCATGATTCAGCCAGGCATGATTCAGCCAGGCATGATTAAGCCAGGCATGGTTCAAGCAGGCATGATTCAAGCAGGCATGATTCAGGCATGGATTATTCAGCAAGGCATGATTCAGCCAGGCATGATTCAGCCAGGCACGATTCAGCCAGGCATGATTCAAGCAGGCATGATTCAGCTAGGCATGATTCAGGCATGCATGATTCAGCAAGGCATGATTCAGCAAGGCATGGTTCAAGCAGGCATGATTCAAGCAGGCATGATTCAGGCATGGATTATTCAGCAAGGCATGATTCAGCCAGGCATGATTCAGCCAGGCACGATTCAGCCAGGCATGATTCAAGCAGGCATGATTCAGCCAGGCATGATTCAGGCATGCATGATTCAGCAAGGCATGATTCAGCAAGGCATGATTCAGCCAGGCATGATTCAGCCAGGCATGATTCAGCCAGGCATGATTCAGCCAGGCATGATTCAGCCAGGCACGATTAAGCCAGGCATGATTCAAGCAGGCATGATTCAAGCAGGCATGATTCAGCCAGGCATGATTCAGGCATGCATGATTCAGCAAGGCATGATTCAGCCAGGCATGATTCAGCCAGGCATGATTCAGCCAGGCATGATTAAGCCAGGCATGATTCAGCCAGGCATGGTTCAAGCAGGCATGATTCAAGCAGGCATGATTCAGGCATGGATGATTCAGCAAGGCATGATTCAGCCAGGCATGATTCAGCCAGGCACGATTCAGCCAGGCATGATTCAAGCAGGCATGATTCAGCCAGGCACGATTCAGCCAGGCATGATTCAGCCAGGCATGATTCAGCCAGGCATGATTCAGCCAGGCACGATTAAGCCAGGCATGATTCAAGCAGGCATGATTCAAGCAGGCATGATTCAGCCAGGCATGATTCAGGCATGCATGATTCAGCAAGGCATGATTCAGCCAGGCATGATTCAGCCAGGCATGATTAAGCCAGGCATGATTCAGCCAGGCATGGTTCAAGCAGGCATGATTCAAGCAGGCATGATTCAGGCATGGATGATTCAGCAAGGCATGATTCAGCCAGGCATGATTCAGCCAGGCACGATTCAGCCAGGCATGATTCAAGCAGGCATGATTCAGCCAGGCATGATTCAGGCATGCATGATTCAGCAAGGCATGATTCAGCAAGGCATGATTCAGCCAGGCATGATTCAGCCAGGCATGATTAAGCCAGGCATGATTCAGCCAGGCATGGTTCAGACTGGTCGTCTCATCGCATGATAAGTCAAAATTTGAGTGTCTAGCAGCATTATGATTTGCATTTTCATTGTGTTACGGCAATATTGAATGCATGCCAATTCTTAGGCATGATGGTCTGTGTTATTGTTATCTCATAGCTTGTCGCTTTAGCTTGCTGGCTCCAAATAATTAGACTCATGGCATTGCAAATCATTGCATTACGAATCCTCTCTAAATGACTCAATCCATGATGAATAGCATGCTACATTTCTCAATGCATCATGATCTGCATACCAACTGCCTCAAGGATATTTGTATTGCTGAAAGAGTGCTTCTGACATGATGAGTTATGTGCTGAATATTTGATTAATTGCTGATCTGCATGGTGAATTTCACATAGGGTTTGGGACTTGTATGCTAAATTTCTCATGGTATGAGAATTAGAATCCTGAATGTTTTGAAGTATGATTTTTTGCATGCTGAGTCTCCCATGACGTCATAAATGGCAGGGCAAACATCTTAAGGCACCACATATTGCATGCCGAATGAATTCGTCATGCCATGATGATTCTTATTAATGATGTCTCCAGGCAAGATACATTGCATGCTCTCATATTTGCATGATAAATGTCTTGTGGCATGATGCATTCCTCGCGCATGATGAATTACGTTTCGTATGAGCTGGATGCTGAATCCTACGTAATGATAACTTTCGTGCTGAAAGTCCCATAGCATGATGGTATGAAGGCTGAACGCCCTACCACATGATGACTGGCATTATGAATCTGTTTTAGCATGCTGAATGTCTCATGGCTTAATGATCAGCGTACTGGCTATTTTAAAGCATAGCAATTTGCTTTCCCTATGTCCTGGTGCGCGAGGTATTGCATGCTGGATGTCTTCATTCACGGTCTCATGTGATGATGAAATACTTGTTTTTCTGTTCTTTTCTTTTCTTAAGGCTCTCGTAGTACCATGATTTTCTTGCTGCATGACTCAAGGCATGACATACTGTTTGATGCTTTCTCGTGGAATGATGAATTGCATTGTGAATGTTTCATGACGTTCTACTTTTCGTGCTGTATGTCTCAAGCCATGATGATTACTATGATAATGTTGTTATGATTAGCATGCGGAATACCACGTATGATGATGACCTGTATGATAAACGTCTCATTGCATGATGATTCACATTGAGAACGTGTTCAGGGCTGATTATTTGAATGCTGAGGTGAATTTTCTAGCGCATGACCAAATTGTCATGACAACATGAAGGCTAAATGTCTTATGGCATGATATTTTTCACTTTGAATGTGTATAAGCCTGATCAGCTGTATGCTGAATGTCTCGTGGCTTTATGACTGATTTGCAATGAGAAATTATTTGCATATTGGAATTTGCATGGCTAAAAGCATGTTGTATTGCATGATTTATGCCTCATACTGTAATAATTTGAGTGCTGAATGTGCAATGGCGATAGTGAATGATGACTTGCATAATACCATGAATTGCACGACAAACTTGCTGAAGCTCTTTGTTTAAATAGTAACCTTACTAAGTTGAGTGCTGGGCAGTCGGGGAGGGGAACAAGAGACGAAAAGCACTTTGGTAGCGACAATGGTTGTACCTTCACCCAACACAGGGGGGCATGGGAGGAGTATGGGAATGAGCGGAGTGGGGTATGAGAGGAGTTGGGGTGTGAGAGTAATGAGGGGGTATGAGAGTAGTGAGGTATGAGAGGCCTGGGGGGTATGAGAGGCCTAATGGATATGAGAGGAATTGTGGGTATGATAGGTATCGGGGGTATGTGCGAAGGGAGTGAAGGGAGTGTGAGGTATGAGAGAAGTGGTACTTTTCATGGCATGATCAATAGCACTCTATATGCCTCATGACTTGATGATTTTCGAGCTGCGTGTGCCATGCCATGATGATGTGCATGCTGAAGCCACATATGATGAAGAGTATGCGTCATGACATTTTGATTAGCATTCTGGATGTTTCTGACCATGATGATTTTTCATGGCATGATAATTCGCATTCATGATGAAAGTGGCATGATGGAATGAATACCGGACATCTCTTGAAGTGCCATAGCATGATCACTGCCATGCTGAATGTCTCATGGCTTTGTGATTTGGTGCTGAATATTTCAAAGAATGATGAATCGCACAGTGAATCTCTTCCAGCATGTTAAGTAGCATGTCAAATGGCTAGGCACATGTTGTATTGCATTAGGATGGCTCATGACATGATAAAAGCATTCTGAATGTATTATAGCATGACGACTTGGATGGTGAATGTGATGTGCAATGCATGATATCTTGCTTGGTGGATGTCACATAGACATGCCTACAGAATGCCTCATAGAATCATGATTTGCAATATGCAATGGCAGGCTAACTTGGAGGGTGAATGTCACATTGGTAGAATGATAATACTATGCTGCATGTCTCATGGCATGATGATTAGCATGCTGAATGTTTCTAATCATGATGAATTGCATACGAGATCCCTCACCATGATCATGTGCATTCTGAATCTCTCATCGCATCATGAGTTGGATGAACATTGCGTTGAAGCCCTCAGGCCTGATTGACCGACCTTCAAATGTTGAGCGCTGGCAGTCAAGGAGGAGAAGAGAGCCGAGCAGAGCTCTGCTTGGTTGCAATGATCAATCTGCCTTCACCCACACAGGGGGGTGCGGGGGGAGTGGTGCGCATGAGAGTGGGGGAGATGAAAGGAGTGGGGAGTAAGAGAGGAGTGGAGGGGTGTGAGAGGAATGGAGTGAAGGGTGTGAGAGGAATGGGAGGTATGAGAGGAATGGGGGTAAGGGAGGAATGAAGGGTATGGGGGTGGTGGGGGTACAGAGATGAGCGGGGGGTACGAGAGGAGGGGGGTATGAGAGAGGTGTGGGGGGGATGAGAGGAGTGGGGCGGGGGGTACGGTATGAGAGGAATGGAGGGGAGGCAGGGGTTGGGGATGGGAGAGTTGCGAGGAGGGAAAAACAGGAACGGGGAATTTGGGAGGAGAGCGGTGGCATCTCAGAATGCATAATGTTCTGCATAGATCAAGCTCATTCTCTCTGGGTGCATCTCTCACATTCATACGGTATCTGAAGACACATACCTCAGAAAGAGTATCTCTGCTGATGCATACAGGTATCTCAATTTTCAGATGTCACAACGAGAGTGTTTGAACGTTGGTGCAAGGGAAGCAGGATCAGAGAGGACACTACAAATTTATAAACAATCCCCCATCCATTTAACCATTCGTTCATCACCTCCCCTGTCACCCACTTCACTCCATCTCCACTTGTCCAGCCATCCAGGCCAATCATATTTCAGAATGATTAGTGCACTCAGAGTCAATAAGAGAGTGAATATGACTAAATGCATATATCGGAATGAATAGTTCAGAGTGAATGCATTTGTCAGCTCACATCTCTATGCATCCCTTTCTCTAAAAGATGGTACATGAGAAGAAATTGTGAGCATCCCACATTTTTCAAAACTGCCTAGTCTACGCATTTCCATCATCTACCCTGGCACCAGCTACACTGGTGCAGGCCCGGCTTTGAATCAACCAGCGGCGAGACATTGCAAGAAGGCCATGAGTGACTGCAGCACCTTCACCCCAGTCAAGTCCTATGAGGGAGTCTCCAGCTGCAGGCAACTACCCTTACACTCCAGGCTGTTGAACTAGCTGTACCAGATTCACATGATGGTAGCGTATGGAAGTATCACGCAGTGTCAGATGGTGCAGCTGGGTGAGAAACTCCAGGAGGTGCTGCAAGGCGGTGCAGTGAATCAGCTCCAGTTTGCGCAGCCGAGACAAGCAGCTCATGCCCTGAGGTAGCGCCACCAGCTGAGGCGCTTCAATAGCAAGTGACGTCAGCGACCGCAGCTCCAGTGAAACTCCAGGCAGCTCCTCCGGTAACCATGAAAGAAGCTCCAGCTGCAGCAGCTGCGGCAACGCTGCTCCCATGTTTTTCAGGAGGCTGCTTCCCCCTCCCCCCTCTCTCAGCTTGCCACCTGCTCTTACACCTACTGCTGCTCCACGGACTCCCATCGCTACATCGCGGGCGCACTCTTCAACCCCACAGCAGCACCGTCGAGGCTGCTGGCATGGCAGAGGCGCACGAGAGGCCGCAGGCGAAGCTGGGCAGGGCTGCTGGGTGTCCCGTGGCCGTCTCTCTCTTGAAAGGCGGACATTGGGAGAAAGAGGTGCGGGATGGGAAGTATGTCGGCAAGTTATGGTCATGGTTCACGTGGTCAGACGCAGGCGAAGGTAGGTGGGCTCCTGGGTGACCCATGGCGTCGCTTTTGCATGGACGATCAGAGGGAGATGGAGGGAGAAGGAGGTGGGTGTTTTGAGGGTATTTTGAATTGAGGGTAGTGGGCTGCTTGGTAGGTACTTGTGAGTCACTAGTGGGCACCGGGTGAGGCGAGGCTGGGCTGGGCTGCTGGGTGCCGTGTGGGCGTGTCCTTCCTGGAAGACAAGCAGAGGGAGAAGGAGGTGAGATATAAAGGTCTGTGCTGGGTGACTGTTGTTGGATGCTCTCGGATCAGTCTCACGTTAGTCCTCACGTCAGTCTCAGTCAGCGAGTCTCACGTCAGTCTCAGTCAGCGAGTCTCACGTCAGTCTCAGTCAGCGAGTCTCACGTCAGTCTCAGTCAGCGAGTCTCACGTCAGTCTCAGTCAGCGAGTCTCACGTCAGTCTCAGTCAGCGAGTCTCACGTCAGTCTCAGTCAGCGAGTCTCACGTCAGTCTCAGTCAGCGAGTCTCACGTCAGTCTCAGTCAGTGAGTCTCACGTCAGTCTCAGTCAGCGAGTCTCACGTCAGTCTCAGTCAGCGAGTCTCACGTCAGTCTCAGTCAGCCAGTCTCACGTCAGTCTCAGTCAGCGAGTCTCACATCAGTCTCAGTCAGCGAGTCTCACGTCAGTCTCAGTCAGCGAGTCTCACGTCAGTCTCAGTCAGCGAGTCTCACGTCAGTCTCAGTCAGCGAGTCTCACGTCAGTCTCAGTCAGCGAGTCTCACGTCAGTCTCAGTCAGCGAGTCTCACGTCAGTCTCAGTCAGTGAGTCTCACGTCAGTCTCAGTCAGCGAGTCTCACGTCAGTCTCAGTCAGCGAGTCTCACGTCAGTCTCAGTCAGCCAGTCTCACGTCAGTCTCAGTCAGCGAGTCTCACATCAGTCTCAGTCAGCGAGTCTCACGTCAGTCTCAGTCAGCGAGTCTCACGTCAGTCTCAGTCAGCGAGTCTCACGTCAGTCTCAGTCAGCGAGTCTCACGTCAGTCTCAGTCAGCGAGTCTCACGTCAGTCTCAGTCAGCGAGTCTCAGGTCAGTCCCATCCTAAGTTGGAATATACGCGTTTAGCGTTTTGTACGCTTGCTGTATATACGCTAGCGTATATACGCAAACCGCAGTCCCTGAGGGGTCTGGTACGCCCAAGAATCCGCTTGCCCGGGCAGGAAAAAAGTTTTCCCCGGGCAGATTTTTGGGGTAAGAGGTGGGGATGGGGGGGTGTTGTAACCCCCATCCCCTTTGTATTAATATGAAAGTTACAGGAAAAAAAAACCCTTATGGCCAATCTGCCGCTACAACTTCACCCACCTTAATCATGCTCCCACTAGTACTCATCTGCCATCACATCATCCTCCCCCTCCTCAGGTTCCTCCACCTCCTCCGGGACGTTATAGCCAGCCGGAGTGGGGGGGTCCTCGATGTTTCCCTTCACCACCCCCAGCCCTTCAGGGGCCTTGTGCCAGTTGTGCACCACCTGCCAATTGTGCGTCACATACACCAGGTCACGAAGCTTCACCGCGCCGAGGCGGTTCCTCCTTGCCGTATGCACTGCATCAAACTTCGCCCAGTTACGCTCACATGGAGACGCAGACACCGGCTGCGTGATGGCGCGGCAAGCCATGGTGGTGAGCTCAGGATGATCGGTCCCGTGCCATGTCCACCAGTCCACCGCCGTCATCTTGCCCTCCTTCACTGCCTGGCGGTCGGCAATAGCGTCGGGCATGCCGAAGCTGCCTTGGAGGTTCAGGAAGGCATTGAGGCCTTCCTGGATGACGAGAGAGGCGCGGCGCTCGACCCCGTCCTTCCTGGTGACCATCTTGTCACCATGGTGCTTGGAGACGTACTGCTTGAAGACCCTCGTGCACTCCAGGTCGGTGCGGAAAATGCACTCTTCCTGGTTGGTGGGGTAGAGGATGCGGCCAATCACATGCAGGTTGCACGCCAGCCCGTTGTCCCAGCGGTCCTGCACGATCTCCCGAATATCCCCCACCTCGTTGCTTGTCAGGACCCCTTCCGCATGCTCGTCGAGGAAGTCGCGGATGTCCTCGGTGAGCTGGAGCATGAGGTCGTAGAGACGACCCATCATGCCCTTCGAATCTGAGTCAGTCTTGCGCATGACGACGAATGGCAGCCTCATCAGCTTAGCGAAGAACTCGGCGCGCGTCCACCACGCGGCATCGAGGATGTTGTCTTTGAATGTGTCTGCCCCAGCCCTGTCTGCAGCCGCAGTCCACTCGGCCCACTCATTGCTGAGGACCATCTGCGTCAGGCCGGCGCGCACTTCACAGAGGCGGTTGATGGCGATGTAGTTGGTGCCGAATCGGGTTCCCGCGGGCTTGAGAACCTGTTTCCCCTTGCCGCCGTTCACGAGCGGACTCCGCATGTATCCCCGAGTGAAGTGATGGTTGCGGACGAACGAGATGAGGGTGTCCCCGCGCGTGACGATGTCCTTCGCCCATCCCTTTTTCCCGATGTCCTCCATCAGGAGATCGAGGACATGGGTCGCGCAAGGGATGTGTTCAATGTGGGGATACTCGCGCATCAACACCCTGCATGCCGCCGCGTAGTTGGAGCCGCCGTCAAAACACAAGGCGACGACATTCTCGGGGCCGACCTTTTCGATGATGGGCCGCAAGATGCCCGCGATGTAGCCCCCGGTCTTCATCTCCATCTTCGTGTCGATCGACTCCACAAACACCGCACCGCTATCGTTGATGAGGAGCACGTTGGCTTGCGGGCGGCCGGCCTTGTCGGAGAACATGTCGCTTGCCACGGTGACACCGTCACGGCGCCAGCTTGCTGAGATAGGAGCGAGCGCCGCCTCAATGCGCTGGCGACACTTCGCAAGACCGGCGCCACCGATGTAGCGTCTCTTCGGCGCGACGTAATTCGGCCCCGCGCGCTGGATGCTGGAGACCACATTCCGCCACAGTGGGTGGTCCGCGTGATGCTCCGGCACATGAAGAGCGGCAAAGAAGAGGCTTATGGCCTCGTCCGCAGCTTGGTTCGCGCACGCGGCGTCGTCGCCGTAGAAGTCGGACATCCGACTCTTCTTCTTGTTATCTCTGCCGTTGACTGCGCCGACCGCCGCAATTTCAGCCGCACGCTTCACTTCACGGGCCTTCAACTTGGACTCGTAAAGCGCCTTCACGACGTCACGTGCAGTCTTCGGCGCTGCAGTGCAGAGATGCACTTCGCGACGGCGCATGCCGTTCCAGCTGGTGATATGCTGCGCGCAACGGTGAACCCCGCCAACAAACGTGAAGTTGCAGTAGGCACACACCTTGGTGCCGTTCTCGCCAACGCTATTGGCCGGCACCTTGAAGTGACGGTAGACTGCGTGCTTGCTGTCCATGCAGACCAAAGACGTACTAGAAGAGGTTCCACCAGCGGAACTACCAGGAGACTCTGAGGGTGCCGTACGAGAAGTGGTTGCTGTAGGAGTGGAAGCCATGGTGGCTTGGGAAAGGACATAGCTAGGAAGCGAGAGAATGAATGTCGAGGGAACAAACGCCTCTCTTTATGCCTGGGAGATTGGGTTGGGTTGAGCTCCCAACCAGTAAAGTAGCACTTGGAGGGGATGGTGGAATGCTGTGGTTCAAAGGGGTGTGAAACGTTTGAGGGGAGGGGTTGATGAGGTTTGGTGCTCGAAATTCAAAATTTGAGTTCATTTCGCGACAACTGCGACTCGGAATTGAGATCGCCACGTCGCGAGCTTCAGATTGAAATTTTGTTTTTTTTTCGGTCTGCCCGAAATTCAACTCGGCGAATTTTCAAACTATACGCAACGTACGAATTCGACAAGCGTATAAACGCAAAACGCAAAATGAAAGTAGCGTATATTCCAACTTAGGTCCCATCACCCCATGACCCCATCATCCCTTTACCCCATCGCACCATTGTCTCACTGTGATCGTTTGTGTGAAACAGCTTTGGCCCTGTTCCCACATGCACTTGGCTTTAAGTTACAAACCAGGAGCCAGACGCCAGGAGATCCACACTCTTGCACTTTTATGCTCCTCCCTTTTCTCCCCCCGCTCCCAATCCCGCTCCCCGCCCTCCTCACTCGTCCTCCGCAGCATGGAAGGGCGCTACAGCGTGCACCTCTCCCCGCCCTGCCTCCTTTTCTCTTCCTCATTGTGTCTTTCTCCTTCCCCACCCCAATACTCCACCGGAAACCCCACAGTTTCCACCTCTTCAGCGCATCATGGTGGGGCGCTATGTGTTAAAGCACTCCTTGCTTGCTTACCTTTCGTGCCATGCTTTTTCCTCCCTCCCTCCCTCCTCTGCATTTTCCCCTTAACCCCCCTCACCCTCCTCTCCTCTTCCGCGCATCATTGCGGGGCACTGTGGTGTGCACTACAGCTCTCTCCGCCCTTCCATATCTGTAAATGTTCGTTGCTTTCGCTCTATCCCCCCTTTTTCCCCACACACCCTATTCTTCATTCTGACTCTTCCAGTGTATCATACCATACCCATCGTGCCTCTGCCAATATCTCTGCTGGCCCTGCTCCCGTCTATCCCGTCCCCCACCACTCATCCCCACAGCTATTTGCCCACCCTTGCCTGTTGTTACCCCTTCCTCCCTCTCTGCATGCGCTATTCGACAGGCACACAGAGCCAAGATCACCGCTCTCCTCACGCCTCCCTTCTGGCCCTTGGTGGTTACTCCAGCAGTGTGTTCTTCCTCTTATCAGCCTTCGTTATCCACGCCTTTCACAACAGCGAGGAGCAAATCGCCAATTACCATCTGCCAAGTGGCGAGGTATCGATCAGCACCCCCATGAGCTCCCTGCGCCTCACACGCCAGAATGAATGACGCCATCAACGTCCCCCGCCACCTTGCCTGCACTCGTGTCGAACAACACCTGGTGTAGGGAGGGAGGGGGGCAGGGTGAAGTGAGGGTGTGGGGTGGAAAGTAAGGAGGAAGTGAGTGCGCAGGGAGGATCTTCGCTCACAGTGGAAGAGCAGCAATTGCTGGAAAGTACGGGTGGAAAGTAAGGAGGAAGTGAGTGCGCAGGGAGGAGTTGGAAAATGGGAGGGGAGAGACCAACAAGCACAACCCCATCGCCTTGGCAATCCACCATCCACTCCCCTCCCCATCCCCTCCCCACCATCCACCCGTCTCCCCACCATCCACCACACTCCCCACCATCCACCCGTCTCCCCACTATCCACCACACTCCCCACCATCCACCCGTCTCCCCACCATCCACCCCTTTCCCCACCATCCACCACTCTCCCCACCATCCACCACTCTCCCCACCATCCACCCCTTTCCCCACCATCCACCACTCTCCCCACCATCCACCCCTTTCCCCACCATCCACCACTCTCCCCACCATCCACCCCTTTCCCCACCATCCACCACTCTCCCCACCATCCACCCCTCTCCCCACCATCCACCACTCTCCCCACCATCCACCCCTCTCCCCACCATCCACCCCTCTCCCCACCACCCACCCCTCTCCCCACCATCCACCCCTCTCCCCACCATCCACCCCTCTCCCCACCATCCACCACTCTCCCCACCATCCACCCCTCTCCCCACCATCCACCCCTCTCCCCACCATCCACCACTCTCCCCACCATCCACCCCTTTCCCCACCATCCACCACTCTCCCCACCATCCACCCCTTTCCCCACCATCCACCACTCTCCCCACCATCCACCCCTCTCCCCACCATCCACCCCTCTCCCCACCACCCACCCCTCTCCCCACCATCCACCCCTCTCCCCACCATCCACCCCTCTCCCCACCATCCACCACTCTCCCCACCATCCACCCCTTTCCCCACCATCCACCACTCTCCCCACCATCCACCCCTCTCCCCACCATCCACCCCTCTCCCCACCACCCACCCCTCTCCCCACCATCCACCCCTCTCCCCACCATCCACCCCTCTCCCCACCATCCACCCCTCTCCCCACCATCCACCACTCTCCCCACCATCCACCCCTCTCCCCACCATCCACCCCTCTCCCCACCATCCACCACTCTCCCCACCATCCACCCCTTTTCCCACCATCCACCACTCTCCCCACCATCCACCCCTCTCCCCACCATCCACCCCTCTCCCCACCATCCAGGGCTCTCACCATCCCCCTCACCACTCACAACCTGCCCGGGAGAAGGACATGAGGGAGTGGAAACGAGTGGCAGTGCCGTGGAACCCAGAGGGCCCCAGGAGGAGGTAAGGCGCAGAGAGGTGCACGTTGTATTGCCTCCCCATGTTGCGCTGTAAGAGCTGCGGGTGTAGGTGGGGAAAGGGGTAGGCGGGAAGCGGGGGATGGGGATGGGTGCGGCAGGGGAGGCGGGAGGGAGAAGAAAGGAGCATGGGAAAGCAAGGAGGGTGGGCGGGAAGAGACGCACGCCATAGCGCCCTACCACCATGATCCGCTGGACGAGCTGGGGGTGCGGGTGGGTGGGGGAAGGGGAGGAATGGGCAACGTTTGGGCAACGTTTTTCTTTCTCCCAAGGGGACGCCCAGATGGTGGGCTTGACGACACATGACAGCTGCAATGGGGTGGGCTTGACGACACATGACAGCTGCAATGGGGTGGGCTTGACGACACATGACAGCTGCAATGGGGTGGGCTTGACGACACATGACAGCTGCAATGGGGTGGGCTTGACGACACATGACAGCTGCAATGGGGTGGGCTTGACGACACATGACAGCTGCAATGGGGTGGGCTTGACGACACATGACAGCTGCAATGGGGTGGGCTTGACGACACATGACAGCTGCAATGGGGTGGCTTTTGGGCCCTTGATTACCCATTTCACGTGCTCCTGTACACGACAAGGGCTTAGGTGCAAGCGATCCGCCAAATGGCCGTCATGATACCTCACGACCCGCTCAGGCATGGGCAGGCCAGAGGCAGACGCGGGCATCCGAGGGCTATACGGAGAGCTCTGGCCTTCCGAGTTGCTCTTCCGAGTTGCTCTTCCGCATTGAGAGATTTGATCCAGTGGCGCTGTCCGTGGCGTGCACAAACGTCATGATGTTCGCCTGACCCATGCCCATATCCGCCACCAGACTCATGCCCAGTCCAGACTCATGCCCATACATGCATACAACCATACAATGTCCAAACCATATCCATCATAAACAATCCATACCATCTCACACCATACCCATGACATGGCCCATAGAATACCCATGAATCAGAAATAGTGCATACTCACAAGTCATCTCAATTCCACCTTTCTTCATCCCGCTTACAGCTTCAGCTTCTTTTCCAGCAAACACTTGTCTGAAACTTACTCTATCCCCCTTGTGCCCCAGAAGCATCACGTCTTCACCACAGTCCAGTGGGCACCCAAGTGTTTCTATCACATGCAAATACCACACTCATGCAGCCCAGATCACCCGAAAACCACCTCCAATCACCCTTGGCACTTCAGGAATTTCTCCAACACACAATGTTAGAACAAGTCCCCTCGATCCATTCTCATTCGTTCCACCCGGCGTGCCACCGCATCTAACTCTTGAACACAAATATGTAAAAAGGTACTCATACTACTTCCCTCGTGACCCACTACTATGACCCCACACTCCCATGGCTACTGCTTGTCATGCTCAAATGTTTTTTCCACCTGCAAACCACCTCCAAACACCAATCCTAACTCACCCACCTTGATTCATGCTTGCAGCTTAGCAACCTCTCCAGGGCGCACATATCAAAGAGAGGCGCTTCCCCTTCCCACTCCGACGTGCTCTGCTCTGCTCCCTCCCCAAGCTCCAGTACAGCCTGTGCCATACCCAAACGCCTCTACAATACAGTCTGCACATACCCCTTCACCCCCCTCGTCAGTACGTACAACAGCGCACTCTACCACAGCCCCTCGCCTCTCCCCTCCCCCTCACCCCCTCTTCTCGCCACAACCTGTCACACCATCGCCTCAAAAAGGCAAGGTTACCACCTCAGCTCCCCCTCCCCCCCTTTCTCCCCACACCATCCGCCACAAACATCATCGCCTCAGAATCATGATGGCAAGGTTGAGGTACCACCACAGCTCCTCCTGTCGTTACCGTGCATAGCCCTCACCCCACACACCTGCTCGCCATACTCCCCTCCGCTGCTACCACTCCCCACCTGTCTCCTTCCCCCTCACCTTCTACCCACCCCCCACCCTCTTGCTACTCCACTCCTCCCCCCGCCCCCCTTTTACTGCCAAAGCAGCGAGCTGCCCCCTAATTCCGATTGGGCGAGCGGTGTCCTGGAGTGGTGGAGCTGGCGGTAATGTTCGCAATCTTCTCCTCGATGGCAGGGAGCGGGCCCGAGGGGATGGATCCTGACAGCCTTTCGCAGTTGTTGAGTAGGAGGCGGACGAGGAGGGGGTAGAGGAAGAGGAGGAGGAGGCGGGAGAGCAGGGAGAGGCGCCGCTGCTGTCGCTACTGCTAGTGCTCATAGCACCACCGCTGCGGCAGTTGCTGCTGTCGCTACTGCTAGTACTGATAGCACCACCGCTACGGCAGTTGCTGCTGTCGCTGTCACCGCCGCCGCCGCCGCTGCTGCTGCTGCCGCCGCCGCCGCCGCCGCCGCCGCCGCCGCTGCGCCGCTGCTGCCGCCGCCGCTGCTGCCGCCTCCGCCGCTGCTGCTGCTGCCGCTGCCGCTTCAGAGCCGAGGCCTTCTCTTCTGATGATGATGGCGTTGCGGGTGCATGCAACTCTCCTACGGATGTCTCAAGCAAACCGCCTGTGACGTGCTCACCGTTTCCTTTCACAACTAGACTTCCGACCAAATAATCTGCATACCATTCAGGGCCCATCACCATCTTCTTCCCAAGTCTCCACATCCAAACCGTACATACCCATCACACCCATGGGAAAGCTTCTCGAATCCAACAGTTTGTCACAGCCTGTAAGATTCAGGCTATAAAGCATCTTGAGCTGCGTGACATCGTCAGGAAGAGACTCCAGCTGCTTGCATCCATACAGGTCAAGCTTCTTGAGCCGGCTCACCGCTGCAAAGTTGGGAGGCAAGGAGCAGATGGAGGTGTTGCGGAGGTTCAAGTGATGAAGGCAGGAGAGCTGCATGAGAGAAGCCGGGAGCTGTTTGAAACTCAAGCAGTCAGCCAAATTCAGCACGCGCAATCTCAATAAAGCACCAATTTCCTCCGGGAGGAACTGAAATCTGGGAGCATGGATCTCGATGGATGTCAGACACTGTAACTGCGTAACAGCCGCCGGCAGCATTGCCATTTCTTGAGCCTTTTCAATGCGCAGCTGCCTCAGCTGCAGCAGCGTTGAGCCGACCTCATCCGGAAGCTTCAACAAGCGACCACCATCCCGAATTGTCAAGCTGCGGATGTTGGAAACGGCTGCCAGTGGCACTGGGAGATCCTCTGCATCCCGTGGCAGCACCAGCTCCAAATGCTCCAGGCATGGAAGAACAACGTCGGTGTTCAGACCACGCAGCAGGCCAACACTTGTCAAGCTCAGTTCCCTGAGCCGAGGCAGTGCTGGGATTTCCAGCAGGGGAACGAGCAGCTGGTAGCTCCCCACGCTTAGTGTCTCGAGTGATGTTGGCAGGGTCATTACGGCTTCTGGCAGCTGCGGGGTCTTGCTCAGCATCAGCTCCCTCAGCCTTACAAGGCTGCTCAAACTCCTGGGCATTGCAGTGAGGCAGCCAACTTTCAGTATCTCAAGGCTCACAAGGTCGGTGACAGACTCTGGGAGCTTGTAGTCAGGGAGGGCATTCGAATCAGGGAGGAGGAACAACACGCGCAGGTTTCTCAGCTTCCCGATGCCCTCTGGAAGCTCACTTAGGGTGCTCTGGAAGATTTGAAGACTTGTGAGTGAGGAGAGCCGTGTGAGATTTGATGGGAGCTCTGCATGGACTATATTCAGGTGGAAAGTCTGTAGGTTGGTCAGGTCTCCAATGTCTTCCGAAAGCTTCAAGATTGGAGAGTTGAAGACGCTGAGAGATTGAAGGGCCGTTAATCCGCTAAGACGTGAAGGAAGTCTGCGGAGGGCTTTGCAGTTGGTCAGATTCAGGATCTTCAGAGCAGTGAGCAGGCAGAACGAATCTGGGAGATGCGTGAGCTCCGGCAGATCGAGCGAGAGCGATGTCAGCGCGGGTAACTCTCCGAAGGTTTCGGGCAGGCTGGTCAGCTTGCCTTGGGAGATTGTCAACCTCTGCAGGGAGGTGAGGGAATTGAACCCGTCAGGCAGATTGGCGAGATTTTCGCGATCGCTGATGGTCAGCTCCCGGAGACGTGGCAGCAGCTCCCCTATGCCGTCAGGAAGACTCAGCAGCTCAGAGATCTTGCCGAGAAACAGTTTCTCTAGGCTGCTGCATGGCTGATCCGGCGGAAACAAGAGGTCGAACCGCGGACTCCCCGCTTCCAACTCTAGCGACTTCAGACACGGAAGCTGTGCGATTGGGAACGCTGTCAACCATGTTTCATTACAGCAGGAGAGACTGGTGAGGGCTGAGAGAGGAGCGAGGCTTGATATCTGTAACCGATCGGGAAAGCCGTCAACCGTTTCTACGGAAAAAGATGCGAGGGAAGACAGGTTGGTGAATCTGGGAGCCTCTCGAGCCGAGTTATCGGTCAGAGCTAGAGTGTGTAGACTGCTCAGCTGATAAAAACTTGGAGGCAGCTTCGCGTTTGGATGCAGACAATAGAAAGACAAGTGCTGCAGTTGCGTGCAGCGACGGAAGAGTTGATCCAAGCCTGCTTCGGTCACCGGGTGCTCGTCCTTCCTATCCGATGATCCGTAACTCTGCGTAATCTCCTTTCCCACATGGAGAGCCTTCAGCTTAGGGCTCGATGAAGCGAGGTGAGCGAGGAAGGTGTCGTCGATGGTCTCGACGCTGTTGTCGCTCAGATGCACGTGGGTGAGGTTCGGGAAGCACTTGACAGCGGCGGTTAGGTCACGAAGAGAAACAACCTGGTGATCCTTCACAAGCAAGGTGGAGACGCGATTCTGAGCGAGACGACGCCATCTACGGCAAACGGATGTGACGAGAAGACTGAACGCGGCGTCTGCGGAAGCAGGAGGGGTAGATAGGAACGATTCATCACCATACGGCCTTTCGGAGGTGTATGTCGGCCTAGGTGACACGGAGGCCCCCGGAAAACTAACTTCGAGTTGGCTAGAAACGGACTCTTGAGGGTACCATATTATCTTGTCGAGCAAATCATCCGTAAGATCGCTAATCGTGGTAGCCATGTAATTTCCAATGAACGCCTATGTGCTGGAAGCTTTTGTCTATGCGGATCTGCAAAGACTGCAGTGCAGGTTTCAGGGATTCTGGCGAGATTGAAGCTCGCTTGTGCTCTTTCCCACTGCCCTTCCCTCCTGGACAACTGTTTCTGGTGGGGTGTGCGAGGACTTTTCTGCCAAGGCGCGAAATCCATCGTTCAGGGGTTACTGGATTCGCACTATCTGCGATGTCGCCAGCTGCATCAATGAATGAACCCCCATATCTTGAGAAAGTCGAGTGTGTCCCAGCCTAGCTGACAGATGCTTCGTCAATTTTCTAACCTCCCAACCAAACCTTCCAAACCAGCCAAGGCTTGCCTTAGGAGGGGCGAACTTTGGTGCTTGCCCAGACCATGCTCTTCCCAAACTTGCTGGTTTGACACTTTCCCCTCCGTACCTGCTCCTCTTCTCCCATTCAATTCCACCCCTTCACAAACCTTCACAAACCCTTCCGATTTTCCGCTTCCATCCCATTCCCAGCAAACCTTGAATTCCCCCTAGCACTTCTCCCTGCCAAAGCTTTGAACTTGATATAAGGATTCAAGCTTGAGCAGGTGATAGTGTTCGTATTCTTTGTTATCCCCGTAATTGCGCGACCATCCCAGCTTATAGCATTACCTTGCCTGTCGTAATATCAACTTAACTTCTGTATGGATTCAGCAACGCACATTAATGATCTCCCTGATGATTTCCTCGTTAAAATCCTTTGGCCTTCCCGGCTATTTGAATTCGATATCGTCTCCTAGTGGAAGTCTTTATTTCCTAACCAAAGTACATCCGTACAAACGTTACCCCAAAGGAGCTCCTTGACCAAAGATCCACCCCCCCTACCTCCACAGTCCCCGCTTACAGTCTCATTGTTGCATCCATCCGCCATCGATGGCGGCGTTTCGCTCGGCGACATGTATCGTCGCTCCACGTCGATGGAGATCGCGTCATTTCTCACACGAATGTGCTCAATGTGGTCGCTTGCTTCCCAAAGCTGACGCATGTCCATCTCAGCGATGACAGCATGGAGAATCTGGACGACCACTTCCTTGCCCAGCTTGCCTCGTCATGCCGGCTGACAGCATTTCATGTGGGGGAGTTGATAGCACAGGACAAGGCCCCACACTGGAGGGGGAAGCGTCTGTTAATCGAAGCTGGCCTGGATGGTTTCTTCCGCCACTGCACTCACTTGGAGGAGCTGCCGCTCTGCTGTCTTCGTAAAGATGACAAGTTACCAGCATCCCTGTTCAAGCTACCACGCTTGCGCGTCCTTCTCCTGAACTCATCGGTCATCTTACAGCATCCAGAGCTGAAGAGCTTGTCTTCCCTCAAGTCCCTCTCCATCGAAACCTCCGACCTGGATTATCAGCAGCTTTCCAGCCTCGTCCACCTTACACGCTTCACGTGTCTCGACCTACCGGGAAACATGTTGGTCGACTTTGAAGGCCCGCCGGCCTTCACATTCTCGCTGCTACCTTCTCTTGAGTCGCTGAAAGTTGGGTTTCACCGAGCCCCATTCAATGATATATTTTCTCTGGTGTCGCAGTGTTTGCGCTTGAAACGGCTGCACCTCATCCAGTGCGAAAAGCAGGAGCGGCTTCTCGATGATATTGCGGAGGTACTGCCATGCCTTGAAGATCTCACCTTCACTTACTGTGCATCCCTCACCGATATAACAGAGGACTTCGCTGCTCTAACCTCCCTCAAGAGCTTGAGAACCTCCTGTTACCGCTTGGCCAAGCTACCCAACGGAGCTGGCAATCTTTCAGCACTAAAGACATTGGTGCTGCACCCACTAGCGGTCAAAAGGCTTCCTACCTCCTTCTGCCAGCTGTCCTCACTGGAGACATTCTGCATCATGGACTGCCCCAACTTGGACTCCCTGCCGGAGGGTTTTGGCTGCCTCACATCACTCAAGTGCCTGCAGCTGGTGGAATGGCCGCAGTTGGAGCTTCCAAAAGACATTGGCCAGCTGACCAATCTTCACACTGTTGGGCTGAGAAGCCCTAGGATCTTTGTAGAGCTTAAGGTCTGAGTAGGATTGTAATAGCGGAAGCGTTTGAAATAAAGAGTGATTGAACCACCTTGCGCTAGTATGTGAGGGCAAAGTAAGTTGATTAAACAAGCAAATACAAGGTTTATATAAGAGTACAAGGAATACGAATAGATAAATTCAAACCGTTTTACTGTTGCGATTCGATACAGTGCGACTCGGGCAACTGCTCAATGTCGAGTCAGTTGTGTGTCCTTGCTGTCGCGCTGTAATTGTCGAGTCAAAGGTCGCTGACCTTTGACTTTCCCGTAACCTCCAGGCGGTTACCCTAACCTTCGAGGGTTGACTCGCGATGCTTCGATTCGGACTGCTTCGCTAGTGTCCTGAGTTTCGACACGACAGGGGCGCTTAAGACTTATTGTTCCCAACACTCCCCTCCGCTTCTGGAGTGTCGCTGATGGTGACGTGGCCTTGTCCAGTCAGCAGCATGCAGTACTCGAACTTCTGTTTTCCGAGTTTCTTGGTCAAATAATCGGCTGCCATCTCGGACGTGGGACAGTAGGATAATTCGAGTTTCCCTTTCTCGATCTCGTCCTTCACGAAGAAATATCGCAGAGCGATATGCTTCGTTCTGTTCGCGAATCCGCTTTTGTTGGCGATGCGAATTGCAGATTGGTTGTCGCAGAACAGGGTGAAGTTGGGTAACTCGGCTAACTTTGCTTCTTCCAGCAGCTCGCGAAGGTAGAGTCCTTCCTTGGTGGCTGAGCAGAGGGCGATATATTCTGCTTCAGCTGAAGAGAGAGCGATTAGTTCCTGCTTACTCGACTGCCAGGAGATAGGTCCGATAGGCTCGAGACGATAGACGTAGCCAGTGCGAGAACGCCTGTTATCGGAATCGCCGGCATGGTCAGCATCGACGTAGCCGATCAGTTTCGTTGTCGTAGATTCGCCCTTGTGGTAGGTCAGGCCGATCGTCGGTGTGCTCACGAAGTAGTGAAGTGCGCGATCGAGCTCCGCCATATGCTCTGCTTCGGGTTTCTTGAGATAGGTGGCGAGTTGACTCGCGGAGTAGGATAGATCCGGGCGACAAGTGACGGCTGCGAAGAGGAGGCAGCCCAGTTTCCTCTGGTAGTCTCGTATTCCGGCAGCCTTAAGTGGAGCGGAATTTCCTTTGCCGCTTCCTGTCGTGTGGCGGTATGGCGTGGCGATGGCGGTAGGTGTGAGCGAGAAGCGCTTGGCAATAGTGTCGGCGTATTTCTCGGCGTTGAGGTAGATAGCGTTCTCTTCTTCGCGGATGTTGAGTCCGAGATACTGGGTGACGGTGGAGGAGACGGTGAGTGTGAGGTCCTTCTGCAGCTCCCCTTCGAACCAGGTGATGACGTCGTCGGTGGAGCCGATGTAAAGCAAGTCGTCGACATAGACGATCAGTAAGATGTAGTCTGCGCCTTTGGTGAGGCGATACATTCCTTGGTCGTGAGGCAGTTGTCGGAATCCGATGCGGGTGAGGCGGGTGTGTAGGTGCTGTTGCCACAGTCGCGGGGCTTGTTTGATTCCGTAGAGCGATTTCAGTAGTTGACAGACTTGGTTGGGGTTTCCGTGAGTGCCGTGTGGGAGTTCGACGAAGATTTCGGCGTCAACGGGTGCGTAGAGAAATGCGTTGGCAACATCGATCTGTCGCAGCTTTTTCTTCTTCATGGCGGCGACGGCAAGGAGAATTCGAAGAGAGGTATGTCGACTAACTGGGGCGAAAGTCTCGGTGAAGTCTCGTCCTTGTTCCTGGTCGAATCCACGCACGACCCAGCGTGCTTTGAACTTCTCGATTGTGCCATCAGCTTTCGTCTTGATGCGGAAGACCCATTTCCCGGTGAGAATGGTCTTGTTCCGTGCCACGCTTGCGGGAACGACCTTCCAGGTGTTGCGTTCCTCCAACGCCTTTAATTCCCTATCCATGGCTTCACGCCATTTCTCCCTGTGTTCCCCCCCCAGAGCCTGCTGAACTGTCGCAGGCTCTTTAGGAAGAGTGTTGCCGGCGTTCCCGTGGACTGCGGTGACGAGACCGAGGATTTGCAGCCCAGTCTGTGAGTATCGAGGGAGTCCTGGATCCTCGGGATAAGCTACTTCGTCTCCTGCTTCTGGGTCGGGTATGAAATTTGGCCCTATCCTTTCTGCTTCGTTGGTGTTGACTGTCGCAGGTGTTACGTAACGGTTGTCGGCGAAATGGTAGAAGACTTCGGCGTTGTTACTGTCGCGAGGATTATCTTCATCCATGGGCACGTCGACGGAGGAGTACGGGAGAGGTCCGGCTTCCTCCGATGCGTTGTCGACGTTCTGTTCATCCCAGTCTGCTTCGTCCGCTGCTGAGGCGAAGGCTCGGTCACCACGAAAGCCATCGGTGAGGTCCCGATTCTCGTGCAAGTTGGCGAGGTACGTCTGAAGAGTGAGTCGTTCGTAGAAGATCACATCACGTGCTGCTACTGTTTCTTTTGTGTGGACGTCGAAGATTCTCCACGCATTGTAATTTTTCTCGATGCCGAGGTGTAGTCCCCACTATGCCCGTTGCGAAAATCTTCCCGCTCGTGCTTCTGGGGGTCGGTACTGTACCATGCACCCGAAAACTCGTAACATTTTTGTGCTGCCCTGCTTTCCTGTCCACAGCAGATGCGGTGATGCGTTGTTCGGGAGTGACGACGACGACAGCAAGTTGTGCAGCATGACAGCATGGTCCATTGCTGCTGGCCACTGGTGGTTGGGTAGCCGCATGCCACGTAGCAGTTTGCGCATGCTGTTCTGCAGAGTCCTGTTCATTCTTTCTGCAACACCTTGCTGCTGATGTGCGTAGGGAAGGGAGAGGAGTTGTTTGATTCCCCTTTCCGCCAGGTACTGCTTGAAGCGCTGAGAGGTGTACTCGCCACCTCTGTCTGACTGGAAGCTTTTCAGCTGCGTTCCTGATTCCCTTTCTGCTACCGGTAGCCAAGCGGCGAATGCT